GGGATTTGAAAACAAATTAAGAGTAAAATTTGAATTTTCTGATTTTTTTGCGGAAACTCAAAGTTTGAACAACTCTTTTGCTCTTTAATTAGGACTGAATGTATTTTAAACAATATTTAAATGGTTTATTTATAATTCTGGTTTTCAAGTAGAAATTTACTTGAATTAGATCTGATTACACTCTAAAAGAAGAAATACAAACAAAACACGCTTATGATATTATAAAATAGTAATAAAAAGATTAGTTAAATTAACTCGAGTAGTTTCCATTGTAAGAGAGACTTTTTTATAACATTAATAAATATTAAACAAACCACTTTTAGTAATAGTTAAACTCAGAATATTCAGCATTCTTGTTAAAAAAAAGGAATCTATCCATATTTTAACTAGTTTAAATCCTTGAAATATTTTCCACTATAAATATTAAATTTATTTACTTTTTAAGAAAGATTTCAAACACAAACAATAAAATATTAAATGACTTTTAATTTATGAAAAGTAAAGGAATGAATCTAATTTATATGATTTACGTAAAAGGCAATATTTTAACATGGTAGTAGGAGCTTTCTACGATTCAATTTATATTTAATACTAGACTTAGAACACTATCGCAATTGGAACATGTATTTCTCCCAAACATTAATAATTTTGACAGTGCAAGTGCGAAGTGATTTATCATTGAACCTAATTGTCTAACTACTGAAGGCTAGTAGTTAATTATTATGAGCAATACTCTATGATTGCATGTGATCTTAACCTAAAATTGCTCAATTTCCATATGTTCAAGCTTTCATAATAGTTTATAATCTGGAAATAGGATTGCAATTATGATTATGAAATTAACGTTTATATAATTCGGAATTTTATAAATATAAAAACAATTTTAAAGGACAATCCTTTCCCCTATTTCCCTCCCTAATTTTAGAGAAAATAAGTATACTTACATACTAAATAATATACTCACATAAAAAAAAATATTGTCTCACACTAAATAATATACTCACATGCACTTAATAATATACTCACATGAAATACTCAAGGATTTATTGTGATCTTAGCCTAAAATTTCACAATTTCCATACGTTCAAGCTTTCATAATGGTTAATAATTTATAAATGTAGCTGCAATTATGTTCGTGAAATTAACGTTTACACGAATTAGAATCATATAAAAACTAAACTAAACTCAGCGGCGCTACAGACCTAGAGGGCCAAGGCTTACGGTGCCCATCTCAGTTTTCATGGGGTGCAGAATACCTTGGCTCCGGTACCTTGGGCTCCGGGGTGCAGAAGCAAATGTTCCGGTCAGGTGGTCAGCCGAACGCGGAACCCCCAGTGTTTAGTTCCCAAGCATGCTTGGTACTAATTTATCGACCCACTGAAGGGATGAAAGGCTAAGTCAACCCTGCCCGACCCGAACCAGGGACCTGTGGTACTGCAGCGCGAAGCGCTACCGTTCAGCAACCGGGCGTCACTTAGAATTATATAAAAGGATTTAAATAAAATGGATCAAAATTACAATCCTCTCCCCTATTATGTTACATAATTTTAGAGAAAATAAATTTTCCCTTCAAAATCTAAAATCAGTTAAAAGAAATATGAGTAAATAAAGGTTTTTTCTAGTTAGAATGATAACTTATGTTTATAGAAGAATGCACAGTGAGTAAAAATTAATAAATAAAACGTATTATCCTGAATAACTTTTCTTTGACTCAATCTTAATTTTTTTTATGGGGGTGATCTCAAATATGCTAATTAATTAGTCGGATGATATTTTAAGTAGCAAAAACCGTTCAAAAGTACTTTCTCTGAGTAAACAGACTTCTTTTCGACTGATTCGGCTTTCTGAACTCCAAAATATATGAGTAGCTGTAATCTGAGAAATATGATCCCAATTGTTTGGACAGGAGAGTGGTCCAAAGTATTGACCCTTTAACATTAATTTTTGTTTCTGCGTATTTCGTCATACCTCACGAAATTTTTAAGCGGATTAAAAATATTTTTTTACACGCAATTCGAAAATTAGTTTTTCGAAAGATTATATGCAAAAAATAACTTTTAGTAAGTATTTACTATTTCATTTAAAAAATAGTCAAAAAAATTTTGAATTGCAACGTACACATTTTTTTATGTAATTTTGAAAAATTTAACTTTGCATAGCGAAATACAAAATTTGAGTAAAATTAGTTAAATAGTTCCTGAGAAATCAAATTTTTAGAAATGCATTTTGCAAAAACAATTTTTTTTAAATTGAATAGATTGAGTCTTAGAACGTGAAGATCGAATAATTAAATCAAAAGTTATTCATTGTGGTCTGTTTTTTTAATTTATTTACTATACGAACACATTTTTCTCAGAAATTAAAAGCAAACTGCAAAAAGGAATCTAGCTAAAACTCTTTCTTTGAAGACTACTTCAAAAAAAAAATAGATTATGAAAAAATATATGTTTGACATATTGACTTTTTTAGTTAGTGATGGATAAAATAGAATTTTCTTTCAATCTAGGAGATAATATGATGAATATTTTACCGTACATAAATATTCTTTTGCCTTGTAATTTTACGCTTTTTCGATAGCTTCAGTAAAGTCACTTTCTTCTTTTTATACACCAACATAAATGATAATCTCTTAGAATAAGTAATACGTAGAAAACAACAATGAAAAGATTCAACAAATTTTATTACTAGTACTCTTAAATATAAAACTCATGTTGCCATAAAATAAACAATGATTAATTGTTTTCCATGTAATGGTTGTTAAAATATATATATATTTTTTTGACCTTTGATCTTTTTCTTTCCTGTGTCTAGACAATGTGAGAACTCAAGTTTTCAGTATTCAAGTAAGGTAAAAAAATAATAATCCTTTAACAGTATTGATTAATAAAATGAAATATCAGCACTTTATGTGATTGTTTACTGAATTATTGAGTATATTTTTCATTGTTTATAACTTTGTAGTTTTTTAAACATAAAAATATTTTTGTTTTTATTTCTCTAAATTCGTGAAAAATTTCATAAAGGATAGAGCAACAATTTGTAATTTATATAAATGTAAAATGTTTTTTAATTAAATCAAATCCATAGCAATATTTCATCTAAACAAACTAGCGTTACAGAAAGCATGTTTTATTACAATCAAAGTCTTAAAGTGGTATTTCAATCGTTTATTTTTATATGTTTTTGTTAGGTATAAAAGTATTATTATTTGGAATAGTTCTATATTTAACATTTCATCTTACTTAATGTACTTATAAAAAAGACTAGCTTAGTTTTCCATGATTAATAATTAGGTATTATGAAATATTTACCCCGAAATGCCCCAATTTAGGGCATAGGGGTAAATGTTTATTAAAATCAAGAAAAACAGAAAAGTACATAAAATACAAAAAGTAACATTACAGAGTAACATTATGTAAACATTACAGAGTCTGATGGCAACAGCAGTAAAATAATTAAAATGCTCCGAGAGTCCCGCCTTATAGTGCCGAAGCCGACGGGGCTTCCCTTATAGTGAGCCAAAGACACAAATGAAAAATTTTACAACACATCGCAGGAAAGTACAGTATGACATACAATGCATCATGTGCAGGCAGTACATAGGATTAAAACGAGTAATATTACGGAGTAAGTTGGGTCGCTAAACCAAAGCGATCATTAACATTGTGACAGGATATAAAGGACACAAAGTATAAACTGTTGATGTATTCAAGAACAGTAAAACATAAAGTGAACCATTAAAAAAAACGTGTACCTGAAGTGAACATAAGAAAACATTAAAAGGTCACAGGTAAACGGAGGTCCCAAGTTAATATAGGTCAAAGAACCAATACAGTCGATGACAAATTGACAACAGGTAAGACAGAAGAACAAGGCGTAATGAGCCAAGAAAATCTCAAATGTAAAACAAAAGGAGGTGAAGATGTAAAGTGGTAAAACAAACAATTATCAAATACAATTAAAAGGCGACGCTAAAATTTGCAAAGCAAGGAAAGGCAATGTAAATAAGCCAATTAAAAAGCACAATGTAGTGAATAAATAGATTAAAACAGAATTAAAAAGCGAATGAGATAGATAAAACAACAAAACGTTGTAAAAATAACGGGAAGCAAACAGGCAGGCAGCCCAACAACCGGGACTGAGTTTAGTTCGTGTAGAGCGGATCCAAAATGTCATCAGGGGCGAGTGCGTGCTCCAGGGTGCGTTTAATGATGTTTTTAATAATTTGCCTCTGTTTATTAGTCCTGCACCAAGATCTTATGTCGCCTCTTGTGTCAAAACTATTTCCTCTAATGGTTGCAAATTTTTGACAGTCAAGCATCAGATGTTTAATAGTCTGATAGTGACCGCAATATTTGCACGCGGAGGATTTTTGAAACATCATATAATTAGGTATTATGAAAAAATATTCAGTATTAAGTTATTGATAAGTACATTTGTTTGGATGGTGGGGGAGTACTGTAGTGGTAGACAAACAAACTACAGTACTTCCCCACAAGAATTGTATCTGTGATAGAATTCGGTGAACGGATTCCACCAGTTGATTCATTGCAGTCTTTTTGTGAGATGCCGGAAAAGCTGTATTAAGTTCACGGTTGTCGTCGCTCCTTCGTTGCCTTTAGCAGTCGAGTGTATTCATTGTACATCGTATGTGATCGAGACTGAGTAGCAAAAGCGCGAGGAGGACAATGTCGCAGTCACAAATTGCAAGTCAACTGTTTAATGTGGACCATCCATTGAAGTATGCGAGTTCAAATCATTGTAGGCGTTTCTGCCAAAGTAGGCGTGCTCACATCGAAGTGGGAGTTTCTTTCAAGGTAGGCAGGTTCACATCACGTCCGGGTCACCAATGTGGAGACAGTGAGTTATCGGTAATGTCAACCTTATTCTATGAAAAGGTACCTCACCGTAGAATCGAGTTAACATGTCTTATATACTAATGAGTTGGAATTGTATTTTTGTATAGGTTGATATACTACACATTATAAAAAACACCACAATTTTGAAATACAACTTTATTACATAAAATAGTGATTGCAAAGGTGTCATGGTATGAAGACAAGATTCACGGTACAACAAACACAATACTTAACAGATAGTTTTATGTACAGAATTAAAGACAATAAGACTGCACTTTGTACAAATTAAGAGAGGAACTTCAATTACAACAAAGAACGTACTTGTACAAATTAGATATAACTTTTTTATGCAAGTTAAACTGTTGAGTAAGATTCAATAAAAGCCAAAGGAATAATTTATAACTAATTTAAGTGACCGAATTAAGGAAAATTAAATATAACTGCATATCCTAAGTTTTGCCAATTTTCTTAGTCATGCATAAAAAAATTAATAATGTGTATATTTTTATTTTTGATTTTACTACTTTTAAAATTTGGTTTATTATTCAAGTACCCGAATCAATATATATAACCGTAAGGTACTTTAAAGATATCTGCATATTTAATCAAAACATTTAGTTTTAAGGTAAATCAGAATTAAGGAGTTTATTGATGCGTTCTTATACAAATTAATTTAAAATTTAATTTCATATGATTAATGAATGTAAAATTTAGTTCGCTATTATACGTGTTTTAAGTTTTTAATAACATATTTAGCATGTTTGAAACGTAAATATATAAATGAAAAGAGCCATTAATTATAATTTTCCGTTTTCTTGCACCATTTATTACTGAGGATAAAAATGTTTAATTTCTTATAAATTTACTACAAAAAAATACGAAAATCTAACAATTGCATTCTTTTTCTTGATTAAAAAAATTCTTTCTTTAATTGATACAAAATACTGTGAAACTTGATTTCAAAGTTAATCAATTAGTATTCACATTATTGGAACATAACTAATTTTATACAGAAAAAACAACAGTACTACAATAAACGATGATTAAATTAATGTCATGAAATAAATAAAGCAAAATGGAGTTGGTGTATGTCGACTTTTCGAAACAAAACTTGGTATAAATAGAACACAAGACTAAATACTTAAGACTTAAATACAGTGATACTATTGCACTTCATATGTATCTTCAAATGTAAAATATCTGAAGTACGTTGATTACAGTTAGAGCATTACTCACAAATATTTCCTGAAAATATCTGAAAAAGAAATAAGATGTAAATGTCATAAAACGTGAGATAAGTCAAAACGTGCACTTATAAATCAAATAAAAAACTAAAAATATAATGAAAACTTTTTTTTTTGAATTTTAATTTGATCATTTTCTGCTATAATTTGTTTATTATCTAGCATATTCTAAAACATGGTTTTAATTTTTTTTCCAAATATTTACTGCAGTCATCTATTGATGAGTTTTAAAACGAAATTTAAAACTAGGTGGTAATAAATTAGTTAGTTTATGCAAGACGCAAAGAACCGAATTTTGCATTTCATTTCCTTTTACATCAACTGATTTCATAAATAGCCGCTTACATTTTGGGCATCGAATATTATTATTAAAAAAAACTAATTAAAAATAGAAATTAAAAGAATAGAAAATAAATAAAGAAAGAAAATAATTAAATAAAGAAAGTTTATTACATGCCTGTTAAAACTGTATCAGTAATGTACAGTTTCAATATCGATGCTGTGGAAGGAGGATTTTTAGCAAATATTTTGTTCTGTAACATGTTTCAGTAAAATTTACGGTATACAGAACCGGTGCCCTGAGTGCTGGTACTTTTTACCTTAATTTCATCACAGATGGCAAGCGTGACTCAGGTTTGCCATCAAATTCCTTAAAATATCCCGTCGCCATGGAAGTATATGAAAAGAATTTTGGTTTCATCACTACTTTTTTTCCCTTGGTTCCATTAATTTTTTGCTTGGTTTCATTCCCGGCTCGCACCAACTAAACTGCTGACGTAAAATATCATAAGCGGTAGAAAAATCATAAATCCGCATGCCATCAGACTAACAGTGAGAAACATTCGCGGTTATCCTCTTCGTGTAACGCAAATTTGGGTTGGTTCCTTCAAAAAGTTCTCCACGAAAGCTAGTTTGACACAATTATTGATCCATCGAGTTTCTTTGTTTCCTGGGTAGGGTACAAAATTATAAGGCTATCGAGTTGAACAATTATAGTCGTAAACTCTGATGAGGGTGGACAGTTCAACACTGGTTATAAAATAAAAAATAAAATATTTTAGTAAAATATACGCTTGAGTATATTACCTTTCCTGAGGTTCCTTGCAGAAAGGATTTAATGACACAATCAAAGACAACAAAGACATGAAGGTGCAGTAATTGAAACAATACAATACAATTTACAATAGGGTGGCTGGATTCTGAAAAAAATTAAATGCTATAAAAATCATATTTTTCTCAATTTGTTTTGAACATTTCAAGTGGAATAGAACAAAAATAGTTTAGTTTTCATAAATTAAATTTTAGTAACTATATGTTTAAACAATGTTATTATTTAAATATATCAATGATTTTTAGTTTTACTTGCAATTTTTTTAGTATGCAAGATATTACTTTTAATATAGATAGATTCCAATAAAAAGGAAAATAAAACAATGAAACAATATACAGATATGACTGCACTGGCTAGATATTGGTATATTTGTGGCCACTGAATTAGTACATTAGTAGTACAGTAGTAGAAAATTTTAATTGATGGCGATTTTAAAAAAATAATTTTCAATGTCGAAACAAAATTTTTAATTGTNACAAAAAAATGATTATCATAAAAATATTCAAGTACAATAATGCATAAAGAGGTGAGGCAGATAAAATTGCTGTAGGTTAAATATAGAAAATATAGACCAAAAAATAAATAAACTAAAAAAAAAAAAAATTAAAAATTTTGTTTCGACATTGAAAATTATTTTTTTAAAGTTATTTCTATTTATCAACACTTTAGATCATATTTTATTTCCCCATCTATATTTTCATTAAAACTCTATTCTGTTTCTTAAAATATGATGCAATTATGCATTACAAAAATAAATTTTATTTTATTTTGTCTTCGATATTATGCCATACCATTAACATTTCACTGTACTTTAATGAGAAAAAAAGTATATTCGATTTCTCTATTTCATTCGAAGTAATTTCGGAAGATTCGAAATATTTATTTCAGCAGTGCATGTTTATTTTCTAAATAATATTATTCACTTAAAACACATTATCTCTTCTATGTTCCAAATGGTTAATGAACATTTTCGAGTTTATTTCCTCTCCATAAAAATAATTAGATGGATTTAAATAAATCCTTTAAATTGATTTCATTTACTGAATGGAAATGTAATTATATCACTTAATGATACTATTGTTCACTATTTCAATATCATTAATTACCATTCATTCTATATTTCTATTTCTATTTTACTATTCCTATAAGATAAATACTATTATTTCTACTCGTTCAATAAATTAATTTTAAATGTTAAAACCACTTGTAATATTTCCTAGAACCTTTAAATTCTCGATGCTATTTTTAAAGCAGTTTTTTAATTAAGGTTGATTGTAAGTAATATATATAAAAATATTTATTACTCAATTACTTAAATATTTATAATTAGCATTATTCTAAGCTATGATTTCATTAATTGAATTATAAGGTATATCCTTTTTCTTTAAAATATTCAAAATATTTTCTGCCCATATTAAAAAAGTAAGCTTTACTTACAATGCGTCAAATACACAATGGACCACCCATAATAACTTTTGATCTAATGATCGAATCTTCACGTTATAGGACTCAATTTTAATGGTTCAAGGGGGTTACCTCAAAATGCTAATTAATTATAGAAGACGATATTTGAAGTTACAAAATTAAACACTAAAACGTACTTTCTCCGAATAAACATACCTTTTTGTGCCGGATTTGGATTTTTGAACTCCAAAATATAGGGGGTAGGCGCGATCTGGAAAAATGGTCCCAATATAGTTTGTTCAAGAGAGCGGTCCAAAGTTTGGACCTCTTAATATTAATTTTACTTTTTGTGTATTTCACCAAATCTCGAGAACTTTTAATCGAGTTTAAAAAAAATAATTACACCAAATTATAAAATTCGTTCTTCCAAAAATAATTTCATGCAAATAGTAAGATTATTCTCGATATTATTCGCAAGGTTTGCGATTTAAGCTATTATAAGGATAAACATTTTATCTCTCATTCTATTTGCGTATGCTTAAAAGCTAGTTGGTCAATATTATTTTCTAACCATCATTTTAAATTATGTACCGACACTTTTCCCGTATTTCCTTATTTAGTTTAAAATTAAACTTTTTTTAAGTGAAACTTCTTTCTTATTAATCATTATTTAACTAAAAAAATATGCAGCCCCAATAATTATGCAAGTTGAAAAATATGTAGAAACATACATATCATTGTTTTTAAAGGACATATATATATATATATAAAAAATAAATAAATACAAGAAAACGCGAAGTTTTGCGGATATAATCATGCTGATGAAAAGATTATATCTTTTATTTTCCGGGTTTTTTTAAGAATTTCACCCTATTTTTTTAATCAGTTATTTGTTATTTTTTTCATTAATTATTATTCCCCCCCTTTTGTGTATATATATATATATATATCNTATATATATATATATATATATATATATATATATATATATATATATATATATATATATATATATATATATATATATATATATATATATATATATATATATATATATATATATATATATATATATATATATATATATATATATATATATATATATATATATATATATATATATATATATATATATATATATATATATATATATATATATATATATATATATATATATATATATATATATATATATATATATATATATATATATATATATATATATATATATATATATATATATATATATATATATATATATATATATATATATATATATATATATATATATATATATATATATATATATATATATATATATATATATATATATATATATATATATATATATATATATATATATATATATATATATATATATATATATATATATATATATATATATATATATATATATATATATATATATATATATATATATATATATATATATATATATATATATATATATATATATATATATATATATATATATATATATATATATATATATATATATATATATATATATATATATATATATATATATATATATATATATATATATATATATATATATATATATATATATATATATATATATATATATATATATATATATATATATATATATATATATATATATATATATATATATATATATATATATATATATATATATATATATATATATATATATATATATATATATATATATATATATATATATATATATATATATATATATATATATATATATATATATATATATATATATATATTTATATACATATAATGTAGATATATAAACAGAAAAAAAAAGCTGTAATGCAGCATTCTTGTTGTTGCTGCGAACAATTTAGAAGACTAAGACTGGCATTAATTAAGATTCCTTTACCGTTTATTTCCTAAATCTTTCTTTGATATTTTTTTAGTGTCAAAGCTATCAACTTATTCTGTTCTTTTCCCAGAAATCAAATTTTTATCTCAGCTGCAAAAATCTCTTACATCCAACATTATTTGGAAATGGCCAATATACGGAAACGTTAAGAACGTAACTACCTTACTTGCTAAAGAGAGAGAAAAAGTAAAATAACTGAAAGAGTGCGTAAGCCATTCCCTCCAACAGCTGTCAGAACCAAACTAAGTGCAGAAAAAATACAACTCATTATTTGTTAGTTTTATCGGAAACAATTCATGTATCACGTATAGAAAAAAATAAATAAAGCCATCAGAGAAGTGTATAGATGCACTTTTCCTTCCCCTGCGATGGACAGGGGGAGGCAGTTCAGAATGTTTTCGTTTATGTTCACTATATTTCTATGACAGAAAGAAAAAAAAACTTGAAAAATAAATGATCTATGTCATTTGAAGAAAAACATATTTAGTAACCATATATTATATTCTCAGAAATATATTCTGATAGATTATGAATTTGAAAATGTAATTGCTTCACTATTGGTAAAAGATTAGAAAAAAAAATATTTTAAACAAATTACTTAAATATGCATTAAATAGCTATTAACTAAATGCATTGCATACTTAATGATCTTCAATCCATCTACTTTGAATAAATAACAACCTAAATATTCAAAAACCAATAAAATATAAAATAAACACATTAATGATTTGAATATGGATTTTATTAAAAAATAGTTTAACTGAGGAAAAATAAATTAAATATATAAAACTGTGTCCAACAAGCAGTGAGTACCAAACAAATTAAGCTAAAGCAAAAATGTAGAAAAGCATTTTTCCTTCCGCCCGCCGTGAACTGAATGATGTAATTCGAAATTTTTTCGCTGATGTAAATTACACTGTAAAAAATTATGGATCTAATTACGATTACAAATTATTTTAATGTAATAATTTTAATATAATTATTTTAATATAATAATTTTAATATAATAATTTTAATATAATAATTTTAATATAATAATTTTAATATATTTTTTTAATATAAGACAAACTGTTTTTATTTTTAAATTACATGTGCAAGTATAAATTGTACTTAATATGTGCTTAGTTGTACTTAATATGTGCAAGTATTAATTGCTTAATTTTCCAAGTAAATAAAAAATTTACTATCTCAATAAGCCGTTCAATGTTTCTATTATATCAATGTTTTTGTTAAATCAATATTTTTATTATGTTATAGCAGTTCATTGTTATTTTGTAGAACATCAACTAACATGTAAAAAATTCCGGGTAAAAATACGGTGAAGACTAAAACGGTATGCAGTAAAATCCAGTTTTACTGGAACATGCTACAAAACAAAAAGTCTGATATATCATAATATTTACAGCAATAATAACCAATATCAATAATAATAACTAATAAAACAATTATTACAGTAAAAATTACGGTGTAATATATAACGGTAGAAATTAATTTTACGGATGATGCACCCAAAGTACCGGTACTTCATACCGTAAATGTGATCCGGTGTTTCTTGCAGTGTAGTATGTAAGAAAGGACAAAAGTCTTAAGAAAAAAGATTATTTTCAAAGAAAAGTCCTGTAATAACTATTCAAATTTAATTACTTTTAATAATAACAATTTAAAAAAAGTTTTTTTAAAGCAAAAAAAATGACAAATTTGTACATTTCAATGAATTTTTAGACTAGTAAATAAATAAAAAAATAAGAAATGGCCGTAAGGTACCAATAAACCAAAACCATTAA